GCTCGGTCTCTCAATTGTCAGCAGGTGAAATATAAGCATCAGAGACCGGTTGGCTTGTATCAGCAGATAGATATTCCAGAGTGAAAGTGGGAGCAGATCATCATGGACTTTGTAGTTGGACTCCCACGAACTTTGAAGAAGTTCGATGCTATTTGGGNGGATATTCCTGAGTGAAAGTGGGAGAGGATCACTATGGACTTTGTTGTTGGACTTCCACCGACTTTGAAGAAGTTCGATGCTATTTGGGTGATTGTGGATCGGTTGACCAAGTCCGCGCACTTCATTCCTATGTGTACTACCTATTCTTTAGAGCGATTGACAGAGATCTATATCCGATAGATTATCCACTTGCATGGTGTCCCAGTTTCCATCATTTCAGATAGAGGTACTCATTTTACTTCGCAGTTTTGGAGGGCCGTGCAGCGAGAGTTGGGTACTCAGGTTGAGTTGAGCATAACTTTTCACCCTCAGACGGACGAGCAGTCCGAGCGCACTATTCAAATATTGGAGGACCTGTTGCACGCTTGTGTCATTGGTTTTGGAGGGTCATGGGATCAGTTTCTACCGCTTATAGAGTTTGCTTACAACAACAATTATTAGTCGAGTATTTAGATGACTCCATATGAGGCTTTGTATGGGAGACGATGTAGATCTCCGGTCGGTTGGTTTGAACCGGGTGAGGCTAGGCTTTTGGGTACATACTTGGTGCAAGATGTGTTAGACAAGGTGAAGGTGATCTAGGAGCGGTTTCGTACAGCGCAGTCGAGACAAATGAGTTATGCTGACAGGAAGGTTTGTGATATGTCTTGCATGGTTGGTGAGAAGGTTCTANAGCATGGTTCAGTTAGATGATGATTTGACTTATGATGTGGAGCCAGTAGCTATTTTGGAGCGTCGGGTTCAAAAGTTGAGGTCAAAGGATATAGCTTTAGTGAAAGTGCAGTGGAGAGGTTGGCTCATGGAGGAGGCTACCTAGGAGACCGAGTGAGAGATGCGGACCAGATATCCTCACATATTTGAGGCTTCAGGTATGTTTCTTGACTCGTTCGAGGACGAACGTTTGTTTAAGAGGGGGAGGATGTAACGACCCGGCCGGTCGTTTCATGAGTAACCGTTTTGTTTCCCCTATTTCTGCTTCTTTATATCTTGTTCGGCTATATTATGTCGCATCGTATTGGTTAGTTTGGGTTCGGAGAGGTTTTGTATTGAAATGAGATACTTAGTCTCCTAAGTTGGCCTTTTTGTTGGAAAAGTCAACCGAAAGTTGACTTGTGAGTAAATGATCTCGGAATTTGGTTTTTATGATCCGGATAGCTTCGGGAGGTGATTTGGTACTTAGGAGTGTGATCGGAATATATTTTGAAGGTCAGAAGTAGATTTAGGCTTGAATTGGCGAAATTGGAATTTTGGTATTTTCCGGTTGATATGAGAGATTTTGATATAGAGGTCGAAATGGAATTCCGGAAGATGGAGTAGGTCCGTGGTGTCATTTGTGACGTGTGTGCAAAATTTCAGGTCATTCGAATGAGGTTTGATAGACTTTTTGATCAAAAGCGGAATTTGGAAGTTTTTGGAATTCTTAGGCTTGAATTCGATGATGATTTGATGTTGTTTTGAGTGTTCCGAGGGTTGGAACAAGTTTGAATGATGTTATGGGATGTGTTGGCATGTTTGGTTGAGGTTCCGAGGGCCACGAGTGAGTTTCAGGTAGTTAAACGGATCAAATTCATGATTGAAAAGTTGCAGATTTTCCTTCAGGTCTGTTGCAAACATTTGTTCATCGTGATCGCGTAGAAGGGTCCGCGATCGTGTAGGCTCAGTTGGGTATGGGTAAAAAATTGTTCTATGCGATCGCAGAGGTCAGGGCGCGATCGCGGTAGGCTGTGAAATCGTTGTTCGCGAACACGTGGTCAATGTCGCGTTCGCGTAGAAGGAAAGAGCTGGTGAGGAGCAGGCAAGTTGTTCTATGCGATCGCGTGGGAGAGGCCGCGATCGCGTAGGTTTGTGAAGCCAGTGCTTCACATTCACGTAGAGTTAATTCTGAGTCAACAAAGTTTGTGCTTCGCGATTGCGGGGCTATTTACGTGATTGCAGTGAATGAATTTAAATCGCTGGGCAGAATGTTTAAAAGGTCATTTTCGCAATTTTTGGCCATAGTTCACCATTTTTGAGACGGTTTTGGAGCTTCTTGGAGGAGATTGAAGGGGGAATTCAAGAGAACTTCTTTGAGATAAAATTATTGAACCTAAAACTCGATCCTATGTTGATTCTTACTTGTTTAAACATGAAATTTGGGGGATTTGAAGCCTAAAATTGGGGAGTTAGGGCTTGAAATTGGAGGTTTTGATTTGAGGATTTGAGGGGTCGTTTGCGGTCGATTTTGGTGTATTTGGTATGTATGAACTCGTGAGAGTGTAAGGATTCTAGTTTTGTGATTTTTATCGGAATTCGAGGCGTGGTCCCGGGGGTCGGGTTTGATCAATTTTGGGACTTTTGATGTAATTTGATTATTTTTGAGTGGGCTTTGTTCTCTTAGCATATTTTGATGGTTATATACTAATTTTGGTTAGATTCGGGGCATGGCGTCGCGGGCTAGAGTTTGGCTTGACTTGAGGTAAGTAACGCTTCCAAACTTGGTTCTGAGGGTTCAAAACCCCGAACTATGTATTCTATGATTACTGTTGAGGTGACGCAATGCCAAGTGACGGGCGAGTGGACGTGCACCGTGAGAAATGCGGCCTGGATCATTCCGTGGCATCGTTTAGTGACTCTTTTATGCTTATATCTGTGTTGTAATTATGTGATTAAATTAATGAGCTGTAAATCATGCTAACATGTTAAGGCTTCACGCCAACACTGTCGAGACCCGAGAGGTCGTTTCTTGTTGTCATGTCATTAGCTTCTTTTATATTCTATACTCAGTCCTATTCATGCATATCATATCATGCCTCAGTCTCGATTATTGCTATTTGACATATCATATCATTGTTCGGGCTTATATCATGACATTTTAGCCCATGTGTGTGAGATTGGAGAGTATTGACTGAGTGAGGCCGAGAGCCTGATATTGATTGACAGTATGGGATCGGGCTGCACGCCGCAACAAGATATTGATCATGCCTTCGCTTGGATCTTCTCCATGAGGATGAATTGGCCTGTTTTCTCGGTACTGGGTGACTTATAGTCTGTGATGTATATATATTCCGGGATGGATCTTCCCTGGGCCGAATGGGCCATATACAGTACCGAGTGGTTGGGCACTATGAGTGAAAGTATTATACGTGACATTGATCATGCTATCGGTGCATTAGTACTTAGAGGTTCCTGACCTTTATACTATGTATCGTTCATACTGTGTTTAATTACTGCTGAGAAACTACATGAACTGTAAGCATGTCTACTTTTCCGTACAATTAACTGTTGCAACCTGTTGAGGTTTGGTTCGTTACTACCGTCAGTCCATAGTTTGGACTTGTTACTTACTGAGTTGGTGTACTCACATTACCCTCTGCACCCCTATGTGCAGATCCAGGTATCTTGGGCACGTCAGCAGTTGTTGATCACACCAGTTTGAGACTTTCTGTGGAGATTGCGAGGTAGTTGCTTGGCGACCGCAGTTCCGCCTTCTCCGTTCCTTATCTTCCTTTAGTATATTTATTTGGATATTCTCATATCGTGTTGGTCATGTTATTTCGAACAGATGTAGTAGTTTTAGCTCATGACTTAGTGACACTCGAAGTCGGGATTGTATTTCATTCTGCTGGATTTTGATTTCTACTTTTATCTTATTGAATTTCTGTTAAAATTATGATTTTCTTAAGTTTTTAGTTGAGAAATGAAGTACTTGGGAATAAGTGGCTGACCTAGTATCATGATAGGCGTGAGTTAAATTTTTGGGCGGTGACATGTCCTTTTTAAGGTATATTTTGATTTGCACTTCTATGCAAAATCAACTGCAATTATCACATCTTTCCAACGTAAAATTAAAAATTAAACATTGGTCTGACTCGTCTCTTGCCTTTGTCTGACGGAACCCCACGATCATCAAGATGGAGAAAGTTCAAGTTTGAAACTTGAACTCTCAACTCTCAAGGATTGAGACGATCCTTGAGAAAACACACAGACAACAGGATTGAACACATCATACGTAACCAAATAGGAAGAGCTATATGATAACAAAATTCAATGACAGGGAACACCTAATCCTTCAAATATAGCATAAACTGATATCAATTCCTACACAACTGCTCTAACCACAACTAACAGTACTACAGTAAAACTCAAGCGGTTAAAACGCTTCAGATATTACAACGCATCAAGGTTTTGCTTCGGGTTCTGTGCTTGGAGATGTGTTTGGTATTCCATAGCAAATTAGCCGGAAGCAATCTATGCAATTAAAATGATTAATGACACGTGGCATTAATACTCCGTTGACAACTACTGGAGCAATTTCTACTGGAGTTGATCCTAACTTGCGAATATCTATATTTAAGAGAGATTTTAGGGATCTTACGCTAAGTTACTTTTTTCCTATAAATAGAGGGGTCCTATTCCATTGTAAATCACTCCAAATAAATAAGAATTCTCTCTCTCAACTTTTCTTTGCATTACTGTTCTTCTTCTTTTATTGTTTCATAACACTATTGTTTATGTAGTGATTATTTTTACTAATCTTTGCAACCAAATATTGTATTATTTTATGTGAAGTTATTTTTTGATCACCTCAATCAAACAACCTCGTAATATCTTGTGACTGCAGCAGGTCATGTCAAACTTATAAAAATATATCATTAAGATAAAGTTTAATTTTTTATAAAAAATATTTCTACTTTTTATTTTTTATAAACGGATAAAAGTGAAGTAAGCGTGTCATCTAAAATGAAAATGACATTTTAGTAGGCATTTGACAAAGATTGCTATTTTTGACTGTCCTATTCCAGCTCAGTAGGGACATAATGGTTAGAAATTGACCATTTTGACTTTCGTGTCAGTTTCAAATTTGCAATCTCTGTCTCTGTTCTCACCCATTCCCAACTCCAAACCCAACAATAGCGCTATACCAATCCAAAAAAACCCAAAAGCAAAGCAGTAAACTAAGGAGCAAAGGCTGCAAAACACTTCTTTCCCTTACCATAACTTTCCCTTTTACTCCAGGAAATTGAAAACACCAATATTACAAGCAAACTGTATATCACAATAAGCAGCAGCAGCAACTCTTGATTTCTCTTGAAACCTGCTAAATAATCCAACTTTAGATCATGGAAGAGTAATACTTCACCTCCCTATCTACAATTGTGATTTTGTTCATTCATTTCTTGATATTGTTGCTTTTATATGTTTTTTTCTTGAAATTTTTGCAGATCTGAGACATACCCAAAAGAATACTTATCCCCACAACGAAGAAGAGCTACCTTAACCCCGTCATCTTCTAATTCAGCTGCAACAACCAGTGTCCACGTCACTGCTTTAGACGGGCTAGTAAACGTGAACTCACTTTTCACCATTGCAGTCTTTGTGGGTCTTTCTTTAACCACACCTGGCCAGAAAAGTCTCGAGGACCGTACAGCTTGTGATGCTGGCATTGAAGTGGTCAGGAAATTGTTGGTATTTGAGGTTGTCTCATTCAGCTTTTTCCTCTTCTCTTCACTAGTTGCACAGGGCCTTAAATTGGCAATTAATCTCTTGAATAGCAAAGATGTTGATGAGGCTTTTAAGGCTCACATTAATCCGAAAGTGCTGAGGCTTGGGATGTTGGGCTCTGCTGTTGGATCTGTAATGGGGTGTTTGTTCTTGATGCTTTCAATGGTCAATGTGATTGAGATTCGGCTCGGGTTGTTGTCTTGTGGAAGTAAATCTGCAATTCATGCTGTCACAGCCTTGATCATTCTGGTCACCTCTGCTCTTGTGGTTTATATCTCTACTGCTGTATATGCATTTCTGCACTGAGGTGAATCTTTTAAATGCAATCTGGAATGTACTGGTTGTAAGTTTGAATGTTAGTGCAACTTATGAAGTTTACAAGTCCACGAGTATCAGTTTTGTTATGCTACTCTTTTGGCTTTTGTTCAATTTACAACTATCGGTGGGAAACTCCAATATATAATTTCTTATGTGATCTTTTAAAGTTTCTAATTTTTGTGATGATTGGGTCTTTTATTGTTTGAAGTCATTAGTTCAAGTGAAATCCATTAGTTTATTTGGGGTGTTTCATGTTTGTCAAATAGGATGGAGAGTGGTGTTATGTAGTAAACTTTGTTCTCCTTGAAAATTAGGCAGCTATATGTTGGGTAACATTGATCTTTTGGCAGAGTAAAGTGCAGCTGAGTCATTTCTACGCTCCTTTTTTTGTGAATTATATCTTTCCCTCTTGGAGCACATGTATTATTTTGCTTCACATTTGTTGGAACTCGCAGAAAGCTTCCTTCTTTATGTTTGATGTATGTGATTTCTGCATAAGATACTAACTGAATTGGGTTCTATGTAAGCTAGTTGCAATATCTTGATATTTTATGTTGTTTTGGTAAATAATTACTGTTTAGACTACTCCTAGTAGAATTTGATTTGATTTGCTAGTTCATCGACTAGTAGCTAGGCGCATTCCTCATTTGACTAGTTCTTTTTAAATTCATTCCANAAGAAAAAAAAAAGAAGAAGAAAAAGATGTAATGTCATGTTGAATGTTTGGCAGACCGGAGAGGAAATTCCCTTTCAGGTGCTTGTGCAGCAGATTAATGAAAAAAAATTCCCTTTAATCTAGAGATCATAAGGTATTTGTCATTGTGAATAATCTTGCAAGATAGAAAGCTACATGCAATGAAAAGTAAGTCATCACAGTTCAAGTGAGGAATTCATAAGAAACGTCCACCAATTATTGACAAGGTGGTAAGACATGATCGGACAATTTACGCAGGGCTTTCTCTAGCAAACACATGTTCTGAATGTTCGTCAATATTTTAACATAGTATTAGTTTATCAGCTTTTAGGGCCATATATATATATTTTTTTCTTTTCCAGCAGGAGTGATGTTAAATGGTCAGGATCATGCAGGGGCGGATCTAGAGCAAAGGATACGGGTTCCCGTGAACCCAGTAACTTTTGCATAGATCCTGTATTTGTACTAAAAAATTCATTAAAAGTATAAGAATATTTAGCTTGGAACCCAGTTTGTTGGTCCAGTTATCATGTAGATTAACTTGAGATTGTTATAGGAACCCATAAGCTTAAAATTCTGGATCCGCCTTGGGATCATGTAACTCTGTCCAAAAATATATCATAAGAACTACCTCCATAAGGTACTAGGAATATCCTAGTTAAAGGTTTTGCTTAAGCTAGTCTTAATGAAAGTATACTATTGCTCTCTGTTGCAGGGTAAAAGTAGAGAAGCAATTATACATCATTTTAATTGCAGAATGCTTTAGAGTTATCGTGAGAGTTTGTTATTTTGTTTCTAATATCAATGTTGAGCCTGTGATGCAAGATGAAATGGTTAAATAGGACCCTATGTAATGTGAAGTAGATTGATGCCATTCTTATGAAGAAGTGACCAACAATGACACTATCCATTTACCTTGTGGAGGTTGATGGAGCATGAAGCTGCTTTGAAAAGTTTAGATGGGGTCATTTAGCACTTGTAAAAGTTATCGTGAGGTATAATGACAAAACAAACTTGTTCAATTTGCTGCTTTAGAGCTTTGTCAATACTGAAGCCACTTATCTTCCAGTGATTACTCTCGTGGAACTTATGTTGGCTTTTCTGGACTTTCTTTTCTCTTCTCCTTACTTCTTTCTTCCCTCCTCTTTTTCTAAGTTACTCACTGCTACCTAAAATGATGTTATCACTTTCTCAAGACATTTGAAACCTTGTTTTGAAGCTCAACCTACATTATTATTCAGTTACAAAAGCCTTAGCTGCCCTAAACAACAGTACTTGCATCATAGGAAGCTTTACCAAAGCTCTCATATACCGTTATATGGCAAAACCTTTAAATTTTGGTCTCTTTCCTTTCATTGCTTCTTGTTATTTA